CTAACACCAATTATAGTTGTTGTAATTAACAAAAATCAGAACAAATTTTCAGAGGACCCCAACAGTGACACAAATAAAAGAATCCATGTTAAAAGCAACTACTTGCTGATTTGCCTTTCAGCAGCTCCCAGTGTGCCCTGTTTTTGTCCTTTACTCTTTCACAGTAGAATAGCATTAACTCTTGTTTCTTCCTGTTAGATGACAGAGCCCTCCCCTCAAGGTGTCCTTAACCAGTTAAAAGTAAAACAGAAAATACAACTTGGTACTTTGTTCTGAAATCAAGTAAGTATATCAGATTTATTTAAATCTCACTAACTGTACATGACTAAGAATAAAACATCTTTATGCCTCCGGCACTCATAGGCAGAATTTCTGGAGTATTTTCTTGAAAAATTGCAAATTACCACAAAGAAGACACCTTAAAGGAAGTGACTCTAAAAAGAGAGACAGAAAATGCACAAGTCTAAATTGCTAAAACACCTTCCAAGTTAGCATCTTCTAAATACAGGCAGAACCTCCATGTTGAATCCCCTCCCAGCCACTCCCAACCTGGAACATGGAGGGATGCTGGGCACAATGCTTCCTGCCTGCAGGCTGTTCCTTGGTGAAAGTCAAACCCAGAGATGGGAAGAAAGGGCATTTACCTGTTTCCCTTCCCGTGCTTTCTGGTCCTTTGCTACTGTCGCCAGTACATTGGCTGCCTGCTCTCCTCCCATCACTGAGATCCGAGCATTTGGCCACATGTAGAGAAATCTTGGGCTAGGGGAGGAATGACCAAATCAGTTCACTGTGCAAAACAGATTTTTCAGAGGTCCATGCTTATCTTTTAAAGTAGTGGCTTTTGACTGTAGCTGCATATTACAATCATCTGGGGATTACCCAAAATACTAAAGCCTGGAACCCTCCTCACACAAACTTCCAGCAATGGGGCCTACATGTGGCAGGGTTTTTAAGTTCTCCAGGTGAGTCTGGCATCTATGTTGGTAAATTGTATTTTCCCATCTCATCTAAATTTGTGGGGTGTAAAGTATTCATATGCCCTCTTATTATCTGTTGTCATGTCCTGGTTCCCATTTCTGACTTTGGTTATATGTGCCTTCTCTCTTTAGTTTTACCAAGGGATTATGGAATTTGGTAACATTTTCACTACACTTTAGGCTTCACTGATTCTTCCACACTCTCTTTGTTCTTCATTCCATCCTTTTCTTGTGTCTTATATGCTGTCTTCTTTGAATTTCTTGAGCTGGCTGCTTGGCTGGTTCATTTTCAGACTTACTTCTGTTCTATTATTTCTATTGAAGTTCATATACCTCTCTTAAAGCAAGACTAGCCACATTGACATGTTAGGATAGGTAGTGTTTTCATTATCAGCCATCTCAAAATAATTCAGATTCTCACTGTGAATTTCTTCCCTTTAGCATTACATTTAATTTCCACCCTCCAGATAATACAAATTATGGTATAGTTGAAGATTTGTGAATACCATTTTATATTCAAATAAACCTGAAATAAACTGACCACTATAATTATACGTGACATACGATTCTCTCCGAGAAAGTCATGACAACCACCTACCTATAGGATCTACCACACATCCCATAATTGCCAGCCCCATAGGACCCCCCAATGATGACAGTTATCTTGGGCACGTTGGCACATGCTACAGCAGTCACCATCTTGGCTCCATCCTTGGCAATTCCTCCAGCTTCATAGTCTCTACCAACCATAAATCCTAAGAGAAAGAACAAGAACAGTGTCTCTGGGTGATGGGATTCATATGCAGAAATCAGCTCCACCAAGGTATGAGGACTGCTTGTCTTAAATTACTGTAAAATAGGTAATTACTGTCTAAATTGTCTTCTAACAGTTCATCTGGAGGCATGCAGAAATCTTCAAACAATAGAAGGGTGCAATTTGTCATCAAGAAGTCCTCTCAGAATGGTAGCTGAGTGATGAAAGGAGGGGACATGCTAAGAAAAAGCACTGTGACAGGCCCCATGTGAGGGCTGTAGCCACCACTGACCCATTTACAAATAGGCTGTTCCTATGAAGTGCTGCTTGAAAACTTTGATGATCAAGGCTTCATAGAGATCTGAAGAGGCCCTGCCAGTGACTCAAAAGCAAGGCAGAAACATGTTTCCATTACAATTGTTACAGGGTAGGGAGAGGGACACCCCTGAACCCCAAAGCTGCCTGCTCTAAATAGGTTCTGCCATCCAGGCATCAAGTAAAAACATGTAAGACCATTAGTGGAAAGAAACTTTAATACAATAAAACCAAGAATATAGTTACTAAATCAAACAGTTACCCATCCCCTCGTGGGTAAAAGTCCACCCAAAAGGGATGGGCCCAAAGCAAGGCCTGAAAGCCTGTCAGAAGCCTTAAAGCACCTTCTGGCAGGGACCCATGAAAAAGGGTCAGAAATTGCCAGACAAGACTGGGAGGAAAGAGCAAAATCAAAATCAAGATAAACACTGCCGTAGCCAACCTCACCATGGCTCTCTCACCCATATCTGTTTCAACCAGCCGAGGACCAAGAAGAAACAAGCGCAGTTTCTTCTCATGTCTCTCTGCTCCCTATGTCTCCTTCTGTCTCCCTATCCTGCTTGCATCCTCTTCAGTCTCCTCTCCAGATTATTCTTCTCTGCTCCACCGTCCTTCTGGGTGGGGCAGAATATCCCCTTTTCCTGAGGACCACCCTGTTACACAATGACAAGGCCATCCTGCTTCATCATGTCCCTGCTCTGCTGATATTCATCTGCTGCTGCAACAGGCCTTCCAGCTCTTGGGCTCTGTCCTCTTGACTTTATGAACATCCAGTCAGGCTTGTTTTTGTCTTCTGCCACAACCACAGACTCACTTGTCTGCCTGATTGCGACTACTCTTTGCTAACAGATCTCCAGCATTAAGTCATCCCATTCAATTCAGCCAATTTTAATGGAAAATCTGATGGGCTGTGTATGTAACAGTACTGATTGGACATCCCTCCCTCACCACACTCCAGCTGTCCCCTGGAGCTGGGCCCTTAGAATAGCTCAGAAATTCCTTTATCTGTCTTATCTTGTAACACTTCCTATAACACTCCCACAACAGTTACCTCAAATATCAACTCTCTTCAAACTCTCACTGCCCCTCAGTCTTAACCCCACACCCCACTTCTCTATTCCCTATAAGTGCTTTGGCACTCACAAAGAAGCCTGAGGCCATGCCACCTCATTTTCTCCAATCCTTCTCCTCTGCCCAGAAACAAAACAAAGCAATTATGATCATGCTTCCTTTCTTTATCCCTTTACTCTCATCCCTGTGAAAGAAAGAGAAAGAAAGATTATCCCTGAGCCGTCTCTCAGAGTGTTTTCATCTATTTCCATGAGTTTCGATACCCCATCCATATTCTGATGATACCTACCTATTCGCTTCCAGCTAACACACATCTGTGCTCAAAATTTACTCACCTGTCTACTGTGTATCTTTAGGTGGATACTGGACATGCTCCCCAAATGTAATGTAGCAAACCAAACTCAATCTCTGCTCTCTGTACCCCAACCCAGTCCTGATAGCTAAACAAACAAAAATAAATGTAGGAATCTTCCAAGTACAGGGGTTAACTTACTGGCAGCTAATAAATCATGAATATGTTTAGAAAGCCCAGTGAAATGTCAAAATCTTTTTTATCTGCTCTTTGACAAGATTTTCTTTTTGACATAGGATTTTCTCAGGCCATGATCTGGACATAACTCCTCTCCAAATTCATTTAACCAACATCTCAAACTTAGGGGTATCACCAGGTGAAGATTTCTAGAAAAAGAACTCCAGAACCAAAAGAGACCTTCAAAATCATTTCATCTGCCATCTTAAGACTCTCTATGGAACATGAAGCCCAAAGAGATGTCCTTTAAGGGGAGCAAAGTATCAGGAAAGAAACGCTCATCAGATGATACTCTGCAGCAGTGCCAGTCACATGACTGGCAGAGAACAAAATGTGCTGCCTTCTGGAGGTGTGGGCCTGCACATGCAGGCACACTGGGGGCCATCTAAGTGTTTGTGATCATGTAATTCAGAAACTGTTCCATATACAACACATGGATAAACTCCACCAAATATTTAAGAGTCATAAAGCATTAACCTTTAAAGACATTCTAGAAAGTACACATCCTGTGCAACTTTTCTGCCACCAGGAAGTGCTCTAAATCTGCACCACCCAATGTGTTAAGTCACACTGGACAGTGCAGTTCTAGAATAAATGCAGCCAAAGCAATCAAGCTCTTTCCTTACCAGTAATGTTTTGAAGGAAGACCAGAGGAATACTCCTTTGGCAGCATAGCTGGATGAAGTGAGCCGCCTATAAGCAAATAAGATAAAAAAAAGAAATCTTTCTAAACAAGAGAGAACAAATCTGCAACAGTCATCCATCCCACACCCCAACACTCTGTGTTGTCAAAGACAACACAGAGGACCCTTTGCTTGGCTAAGCTGCTCTCTTAGCGACAGTTATGGCAGACTTGAGTGCAGACCACCATGAGAGCACCTGCAGCTGCTCTGTACTGTGCTTTTGTGCAAGCGCCTGTGTGTCACTGGCCTGACTGCAGAACAACTGCTGGGTAGGGGTGGAGTCAGTCACTGACATTCGAATAGCAAGTGAAGCTTAAGGAACAGAAAACAGAACTACTTATCAAAGAGGCTTCCTAAACTGCACTGGAAGAGGATTCTGCAATTCTCCTCTTTAAAAAAAGGCTCTAAACACTTCTGCGACATTTACATTTTGATGATGATCTGACAATCTTGCACCAAAGTGACAGTCAAATAAATTCTTCTCACAACACATCCAAATAGAAAGGAGTTTGGATGAGTTAGAGGCCTTCTAACCTTGAGCTTAAAAAGTTATTTAATGAGATAAAAATATAACTATTCCTTGTCTGTCTTCTAGAGATCATGAAGTCTTATAAACTACCTCCTTTATATTTTACTCTCTATTTGCAGATCCCTTTAACTTCTGGATATGCCTTGGCAAGGACCAAATCACAAAGTGATTGCTCGTCCTCAAGTACAGGAATGAGGAAATCACATAGTCCTTTTGGGCTTACTTCAAGAAATGAGCTGTCAGACCGAAGCCAACATAACTCCCCCCGGGCTTAATTGTGCCAACCAACAAATACAAGATGGTGTTTGGCCTTAGTCTGACATTTGTTGGACAGAAATAATATATTTCATTAAGTCAGTATTTCAGGAATACTTTGTATTTTAAGAAACATTCACTACATATACTATTAAAGGAAAACAAGCAAAACCTCTCTATATATGACATCATCATTTTTATTTAGAAAAAATAGAAAAGCTAAGGAACAACCACAACCAAAATAAAACATTACTAACAGTTATTTCTGGTAAGAATGTGGGTGATTTTTCTTCTCTTTTTTCTTTTTTACTTATTGCTTTTTTGACTTACTGCTATTCTAAACATCAAAATATAGAAACTGACTTAGATGGTAAAAACATACCACCAAAGATGAGTTCTTCTTCAATTAGGGTATAAAAGAGCTAACTGCCTATTACCTATATTAATAAGAGACCCTTCACCTTATTTATCATTTGAAGAGGAAAAGTGGTTCTTAAGAAAATGCTTTTTTTTTTAATTTTAATTTTTATTTATTCATACAAGAACTGGGGTGTAGGCCAGAGGTGCAGGGGGTGAGAGGATTCACTAGAAACAGACTGGGGAGCAGAACAGGCAGATTTACTGAAATAGAGAGCTAAGAGGGGGCAGTTGGCAAGACAGGAGACACCTGCTTCTCCATGTGGCTCAGCTCCCTGGCCTGGGATTGAACTCGTGTTGCAGGGGCTGAGGATAGCTCGACAATACTGACTTTACCCCACTGTGCCACCAGGGAGGCCCCAGAAAATGCTTTTTCTTAAGAAAACATTTTATTAAGTAAGTAGATGAACTACATTTATCCAAGTGTAGGTAAATCTGTATGACACTAAATATTAAACCAAAAGAGATTTAAGAATTTGCTTTTAAAGAGAGAGTTGTAATAATAAGTCCACTTTCTTTCCTGTTTCAGAGAGGAAAATGGAATCAAATGAAAACTATAATGGAGAAGAGAAAAAACAAATCACATCTCAGAGTCACTTGAATTCCTATGTCTGAATCCATCAAATGCATGGAGCATTATTAGAGAATAAAACACTTTCAAGAGTTTAGGATTCTAACACCTTATGGTGTTAGAATATGTACGTGTGTCATCCATAGCAGTTATAATTCAGGTATCTTATCACAACTTTCCTAAAACAAACATCTGACTTTTTTTTTTTTTTTAAAGATTTATTTATTTGTGATACAGAACTGGGGTACAGGCCAGAAGCTCAGGGGAGGTGAGAGGCTTCACCAGAGACAGAGTGGGGAGCAGAACAGGCAGATCGACGAAGTACACTGCTGAGGGGAGCAGCGGGCGGGTCAGGGGAGGTCTGCCACGCCATGTGGTCACCTCCGGGGCAGGCGGGAATCGAACTCATGCGGAAGTGGCTTTAGAATCTCAGTGCTGCGCTTTAACCCGTTGCGCCACCAGGAAGGGCCCACATCTGACTTTTATTAGTGCTCTAAATAGTTCATCATATTAATGCAAACCTCAATTAAAAACTGCTTGAAACATTAACAAGCACAGATATACCTACATACTCATACTCATGTGCACACAGCGTTTTGGTTGCTAAGGAATCTGGTCAGGCATCTTAAAGCTTTTATGTAATAAACTTTCACTCATTGCTTGACCTTCAAAGTTAGCTATGTCTGAAACCGAAACAGAAAAACTGGAAACATTTTTTTTTTAATAACAGTTTATTTTTACATCATTTTGTACATGGAAACATTTTAAATAGTACTTACCTTCTTTGCAGATTCAGAAAAGAGAACTCCATTATTCCCAATGATACCTACTGGATATCCAAATATTCTAGCAAATCCTTAAAAAAAAAATTTTTTTTAAGATTTAATTATTTCAAAAGAGTTGATTCACAAACAAACAAACAAACAAAAACCCAGCTATACTTAAGCATTCTTTAAATTCAAATCAAAGTTTAAAATGTGGAGATTTTATCTATGGTAGAGAACACTTCATATCACAGTCTGAGTCTTTGAAAGAGTTGTATTACATGTGAAATTATCCACTTGTCCAGATGGTTGGTTTGGTTAGATGATGGACTTAGTGTACCTGCATTTTTTCATTCTAACATATATCTGTGTGCCCACGGTACACCAGACCAAGCAGATCCCAAGTCTAACAGATCACAGATGCAGAGTCCTATAATGATCAGTGCCCAGAGCTGAGGCCAGCTGCAGGTGACTAACTTGCCTAAAAATGCCTGTGGTAATGACAGGCCCTTGAAAGAAAAGGGATGAACTCAACACAGTCAAAATTTTAATAAAAGCAGGAAGACAGTCAAGCCTAGTAAACTGGTTGAGCCTCAAGAAAGAAGTTTGATCACTCCATTTTCATGTTCTGCGTCTTTTCATATTTTTCTTTCTTCTTTCCACAAGTTTCATTGTATCTCACTACTTCCACCACCACCCTAAACACTCCACACACACACAGACACAGGCAAAATAAGAAAAAGGGGCAACAAGCTGTTTGTTCTTTGGTGAAGAAGGCACTCCAGGTGACTTCAGGAGGCTAATTACCCTGTAAGCCTAAAGACCTAGAGAGACTTTCCAGAGTGATTTTCAGCAAGCCTACAATAGAGAGGTGTCCAGTGCTTGGCGCCCAAGAGTCAACAATGATGCTTGTTAAAATGGGTCAAAGAAAGCATGCTTTCTTTTCACTTTCCTGCAACAAGGCCCTGTCTTCAGGCCAGGCTGGATAGGCTGCCTCTAAGACAGCCCGTGTGGTGCCTGACTGGCAGCAAGTCATCAAAAGTTGTTAAAAAAAAAAAAAAAAAAGAAATGGGTAAGAGCGAAGGTCAACCTACCAATTAGCCAGAACACTAAATTCTTCACTTTTGGCCTTCTCTTACTTTGTTATTATTTTTAAATGCCTAGTTTAGGGTAAGAAAGTGAAAGACTGACTTGACAGTCACCTAGATTTTTCTTGCACTTTCAGACCTAAAATGCCAGACCACACCTTTGCTGCATATCCCAAATGGTCTATCAATGCAATCTGCATCCCAACCCACCCTCAAGGAGCTGGGAATCAGCCATATCCTTACCCTCTCCATCCTCCTCATCTTCTCTTTTCCCTCTCCCCACTCCTCTTCCCTCTCCCCAAACTTACTTGTATTTTAGGACAATAAAGAAGAGAAAGAGGAAAGGAAATCTACCCCTGGTTTCTAGGAGACAAAGATGCCACAAGTGGTTTAGCAAGTATGGAGCAAATACATAAAAATAGATGCCCATCCGTCTTGAGAAAGAAGCAGAAACAGCTTCGACTTGTTTTAAGCTGCCACACAATGAGAGTTACATCCTCAAGTACTGGGTGACAAATCCTGTCTATATATCAAACAAAAAGCTCTTAATCACTTAAACGCCTCATACAAAAACATAAGTTCCACTGGCAGAGTGAACACTCTCTCACTCATAAATCAAGACCAAGACAAAGTGTGGTGACTTATCCTTAAGTCTCAACGTACACTGGCAATTTGGTTGTTTACAGCTAGTTTTTTCTCCAATGATAGGTTGTATTCATATTAACAACTACATGTCCCAGCTTCTGCAAGACCAAATAAAATTCACAGTTTTATGAGATAAATAAGGGCCTAGTATCTATCTTTCAAATGCTTTTCTCCAAAGGTCTATAACACTTTAGATGAATGAACTTATTAACAGCCTTATCTGCTTTCTGGACTTGACATTCCATATTCGCCTGGTATTTGCATATTAGGCCTACACTAAGGCTATGAGAAGGGTTAACTCACTCTGCTTCCTCTAGGAAAGCTAATTATCACATAAAACTTCTAACTTGCACTGGATACTAAAGAACAAAGGAGACTGTGAAATTAGTGTTATCCAGAGAAACAGAAAAAACTACAAATTCTGTTAGTTCTACTACATTAAAACGCTTTTTATAGCTAAAGCCACAAATCAAGGACAAGGGCCTATACCACAGCAAACTGTCATCATCATTTGGAGTTCTCCAGATTCATGAAGCCAGTCAGCTACAAATGATCTTTACAAAACAGCTCCTTTGAATACTGACTCACACATTTGTACTGTTCTAAGTTAACAAAGCTTATGTCAAGAGGATCAGAGCCTTGAGATAAGAGTCCACTTATTTTCAAATCAAGAGAAATCAGTCATACTTTCAATACTTCATCTTTATACCTGTAACTACTGTGTCTCCATACAAGGCTTTGAATTCATTGAATCTGCTTCCATCCACAATTCTAGCAATGACCTAAGAGGAAAAATAACAATGTCCCCGATAAATCATATTATAAAAGAATTTTTGCATTAAGTTTATTTAAAAGGCAAACAAACTTATGGTGCTATTGTCCCTTTCACAAAATTTCACTAAGTCATTGTGGGCTCTGATCTTACACTCTACTATAAAAGCAACAGCTATATGTTGCAGGCAAGAGAAGCAGAAGGAACTTCATGGCTAGCATCTAGACTTAAAGGTTCAGGGATTGCTAAGTGTATGGGTCAAGGCTTAAGGATTTGATCAAAAAATCGCTTAACCCCTCTGACAGTCAGTTCTCATTTCTGCAAAGATAAGATCATGTTGTGAAGATGTGATGAAGTAGTAGGAAAGGAACTTAAGAAAATAATTCTGAGATAAAGAATCAGCACTGACTGCCAGCTCTACCACTCAGAAACCAGACTCACTGGCTGGTACTTAAAATCCCCTGAGCCTCAGTTTCCACATAGTTAGAAAGAAAAAGACTATACTTTATAATTTTGCTAAATCTAGTCTAATATGTTGCCAGCACTATTACAGGAATTAGGACCTATCCATGGAAAGTATTGTATGATGAACATTTAAAGAATGGAGAAATGCTTATCATTTAAGTGGGAAAAGCAGAATTTGAAAAGTATGTATGTATATACTATCATAACTGCATAAAAACTATACAAACACAAGTTGCCAAAATATCAAATTAGTAGCTTCTCTGTCCAGGTGGTTTTAAAAGCAATTTTATTTTTGTCTGTATATTTTCTGCATTTTCATATCAGTACATATTAATTTTATAGTCAAGGGGGGAAGTAACTTAAAATATTGAGGCATCTAGCATAGAATCTGATCTTAAGATACTACCCTAGTTAATCACAAATTATTGTACTCAATATGGTTGTAAAACAAAAAGCTATATTCAATATCTAAAAATTGTCAGTCTAGACTACATGACTGTTAGCAATCTGTAACCATAGTAATGTCTCTTAACTGTAATCAAAAGTCTACTTTTTGCTAATGTCATATTGACATAAAGGATATTTTTTTCCAACAACTAATTGACATTTTATCCATTTCCCAAAATTAGAATGCTGAAAATTATGAAGTTGCCATTATCCTAATGTTAACAGTTACATGGAATACTATTTATGAACAAACTAGCTTTATCACTGGGCAATGAAAGAGTTTTCTCTTTTTTTGCAAGATTTACCAAAACCTGCTCTATGGAAAGGTATCCTTTTTCCTTATATCTTCAGTGAGATCCACAACAGTTCCCAGGCAGGACACATCTGAACAGACTTTAGCTTTGAGGATGGATAGATATAAAGGGACTGACAGATGGGCTAACATCTTTAGGTTGCACTTTACATACCTCTCGGACATCAAAGGTCCTTTTAAGGTTTGCACCAACTATTCCATACAACTCATCAGCAGGAAATAAAGGATCTTCAGAAGGCTCAATGGTAACCTGCAGAATTACAGAAAGGTCATATTAACCCGTTTATAAAGACATGGTTCCGAGGCAACATAAGTCAAAATGCTTTTAATAAGATAAAAGATAAAGGAGCATATCCTACTCACATCCAACTTCTTCTGATAATTTAGGTTCCTCACAATCTTTCTAGTTAAGTGAAGGGCATGATTATCATCCAATGCGTAGTAGTCCGATACCCCAGATTTTCTACAGAGTAAAGCAAACTAAAGCAATCAGGAGAGTGAAAAGGAAAATAATTAAATCTCTTAAACCCCAAATATCTTCTTCTCATCCAAGGATGACATAAATTTTTTAAATTGCAAAACACTCAATGAACAAGTAATTTAATCCTTATAATGTCCCTGATAAAACAAGGACAACTGTTTGTTGTTTTACAAACAGGAGAACGGGAAGTACCTATAATTAAATACCTTATCCCAGGAATACCGGTGGTTACTTAAGAATCCATAGCTTCTATTTCTCAATCTTGACCTAACAGACCACATGGCCCTGCCAATGAGACTTCTATATAATGCTCACCCCAATCACTTCAAGCCAAACTGTATAAAATAAAGTTCATCCAGACAGCATACTTTTATGGTGAGGTTGGTACAACAACAAAAAGTGTTTATACCTAAGATAGCTCCTAATGAAGATATCACCTATGACCTCCCACTTCTGAGGGACTGCTGAGATTCCTCCTTACAAAGCTATCTCCCAAGAATAAGCTGTTCCCTGTTCTAAGGGACAAGATGGAAGACTATCCCTTAGATCATGCATAAAAGTAGGTGCTGACAGAATGGTTCTGGGAGGAGGGCCATGAAGTTCCTGTCCAGTTTCAAGTTGGGTGTGCATGAAACATGAGCTTGCTCTGGTTATTAGTTCTGTTCTGACTAGATGGTTTATGCATGTACTATGACTTTGTAATAAAGTATTCAGAAACTGTAAAGTCAGGTAAGAATATGGTCTTGCAAAAAATTGAATTTAATTCATTTTATAAGTAAAGGCTGTGCTAATGTCATCTAAATTTTGATGTCTTATTTAGGGACGTGCAGCATTACTCTCTTTACCTAGCCACTTACAGACTGTTGCAGGGAAACAGCAGAATGGACACTTCAATCCAGAGAATGACGATGTGGACAAAATAGCCTAAGTGGTCTAGACAAAGTGGGCCGACCCCTTGGGAGACACTGCTTAGAGCCGGGTTCCCATGGTAGTTTCAAGCCAGTCTCCACCTCAGACCTGGATATTCCTAAATAAAGCAAAACCTTATTTACTCTTTGTTACAGTTCTCCATTGCTGTGCAGGTGGCAGACTTTCAGTTTCTTTGATTTAATATATTTTGCAGCTGACCATCCTTAATGCTTGACATGTAATACCAGCTAGCCTCACTGACTTCTAGCTACTCTGTAGTAATGCAGTGAGCAGACAGAAGCAGAAGGAGCTGCTTCCAAATCCATAAATATTTAAAATAAAGTGCTTTCTTTTAAAAACAGCCCAGTATTTACCAAAACAGCAGGAAAAGGAAACCTTTGATGAGACACTATATTATGTAAGTCTTTGTCAAATTAACTCCCAAGGATGACTAATCAGAGAAGTATAAATACGTACTTTTAAAGACAGAGAGAACCCAAAGCAATTTGTGATAATAAATTTCATGACACTGTTACCAAAAAAAAGGAAAAAAAGAAGAAGCAATTACCACCTAATCATTTCTCCAGGTTTTTAAACAGGTTATTCTTAATGACAAGAGCTAGTGGTAATAGAGTGCTTAGTATGCACCTGATGCTACATTTGATCCAAGGTAAGAACTCTTCATATTTGCATTCTACGCAGGAGGAAATGAGGCTGGGCTGGTTATGTAAGTTATCTGGACACCAGGTAGTAAGTGAAGCAAAGGAAGACTAATTTGAGAATTACATCTCTAACTTGGTATACAGACCTCAACTTTTATGGACACCAGATTACTTGCACAGTCAAAAGTTCAAAATAAAAAACAAAGGTTTGGCAGATAATACCATCGTCTTCCTCCTCTGGTTCAGAAGCTACAAACACTGGTGTAGCTTTGTCTAGACCCCAGTCAGGCTACTCGATCCGTATCGTCATTGATTGAATCATGCATTCTGCTGTCTGCCAGTTACAGCTGGTGAGTGGCCAGGTAAGAGAGTAACACTGCATGTCTATGCACACAGTTGTGTTCACCAGACAAACAAACATTCTGTTCAAACTCAAGTTTTCTCTCTAAGCTTTTTCCTGTTCCTTTTCTACCTTCAGTTGTAACACTGCATACCGGCGAACACCATTTATTTCGTAATTGTTTTTTTTAGTTCATTTATTTATTTACTTTTTCTGCCTAACTATATTTCCACAGGCCTAAAATTCTTCTGTGCTACTCCTAACACCTGTCCATAGTAAGTGCTCATGGAGAAAGGTATGATGTGAAACAGGCAAAGGTTACTCCCTTAACTGAGTCTTCAAGGCACCACAGTGCTCTCTGACTGGAGAGCAGAGAAGTTACATCAACCTTCCTTCTCACACCTACTGGACCACTCCCATCCCTGGTTTTGTGGTTTCGAAGAGCAAAGAAGGGTTTACCACTCCTGCCAGACCCTGAGATCCATTTGCTATTCATACCCAGGGTCTTCCCTATCTACATTCACCCCAGGTAAGCTTGACTACTCTTACAGTTTTTGTTTTTTTTTTAAATATTTATTTATCTATGCATACAAGAACTGGTGTACAGGCCAGAGGTGCAGGAGGGTGAGAGGATTTTTCAGAGACAGTGGGGAGCAGAACAGGCAGTGGATGGGCCAGGAGAGGTCTGCTACACCATGTGGGTCACCTCCCTGGCCTGCTGCAGTGGCTGCTGATAGCTTCTTAGTGTTGCAATTTAACCCCTTGCACCACCAGGTAGACCCCAGCATAGGGTTTTTTTTTTTAGTGATGTATCTGATAACAGTGCATCCCTGCTTAGAATCGTGAGTGGTTTCCTATTTGCTCTCTTACAAAGGAAATTTTAATGACCAGTTATGTTGATAGTGACAATAAACGTAATAATGGCAGTTAACATTTACAAGTACTTATTTAAAGCAGATATTGTTGTACATGTATCATCTCACTTAATCCTCATGAGATTCTGTGAGGTATATGATCATTTCTCCATGGTGTATAACCTGAAGAATTGCTTGGCTAAGCCCTCACACGGCACGTGCCCTGGAGAGCCGCTGTCGTCACAAGCAGATGTTGACTTCTCCAGCCTGTGAGCAGGAGCCTCCCATGTCCCAGGGTCTGTATGGTTTTGTGTCCCTGAGTAAGAGCCTGGTGGGGTTTGTAGAAGCACTGCTCTTTTCATTTGAGGCCAACCAAACCTGCCTTAGCACACTCCCCAGAGGTCCCCATAAAGACGTGCCCAGCTCCTGTCTCTGTTTGTACTTTACCTTGACCTCTCCATGTGACCCTGAGGTATGCCATATACTTCCTCCAGAAACTATGAGCATAACATTTGCACACCAGTGGTTTCATCCATTTTCTATAAGCCTTCCCTATAGTTCTTATCATAAATTGCACATGTATAACATTGTTTGGTAATTATTCTTTGCCTACCTCCCAAAGTAGACAGTAAGCTCTTTGAAGTCAAAGGTAATGCCTATCTAATTATCCTGAACACCCAGAACCGTGACCAGCAAATAATAGGTTTTTGATGGATTTCTGTTAAATAAACAAGAAAACTGTGTCTCTCTAGCCCTCTGAGCTTTAATAAAAAAGCCAACTTTCTAACTTAGAAATGAGATTCTACAGATCAGAGGGTTGAAGCCTAAAACAACAGATAGAGAACAAACAAACTGAAGTTTGATCTGGCAAGTTTAATGCTTGGGAAAATGAATTTAAAATTCTTTTGAACAAAAACAATCATTCAATCCTGGAAGGAAACAACCAGTTCTATGTCACCTGCAATGAAGATCAGCGCCTCCGAGATCCTCAGCTGACACTTCTTCTCCAGTTGCTGCTTTGACCTACAAGGAAGATAAAAGCGGAAAGTGAGATTCACACAAGACACACAAATGCCTTCTGCACACACATCCAACACAACTAATCTACCACTCCTTCTTCCATGGGGCTAAACAACAATATATTTTCTCTTCCCACCAAACAACAATCTAGATAACAGTTATCTCGAGCCTACAAATGAAGAATTAGAACCCAAGTCCAGAGCAAGTATAGGAACCTGGTTTGAATGCAGGCATTTATGGTTGATGGCCCTCTCTTTGCCCTGTATCCAACAGACTGCCTGCATGCACACATGTCTTATTACTATGCATGTCTTAATACACATGCTGTTTCCAAAGCCTGACACCCTTCTCCCTCTCATCTATTTGATGAAAGCCTACTTACCCTTCAGGGCCAACCTCCGGTCACCTGTTCTGACCCTCTCCGACCTTCTCATCATGAATACACCCATCGTGTCAACAGAGCAGTGCCTGCTCATCTGTGACGCAACAGTATCCTACTTACACCTCCAACATGACACCTGCCAGGCTGCACTGCAATAATTTATGTTTATCATCTGTTATCTTCTTTAACCTCTATCCCTTAGTAGCAGGAATTGTATTTTATTCACCTTTGAACAATTATTAAATGTACTGAAGGCCTTCATTTTGTCTTTTCTGGAAAATTCCAGCTACTCTCACAAAGTCTTAAAGGTATAATGATGGTAAGATGGGGAGGGGGGCAAAATCCAAAATCACCTACATCAAAGACTCAGCAGAGTGTGATCGAAAAGAAACAATTCAATTAATAAAAAAGAACAACTTAATTGCAGTCTGAGAAATTCTAACAGGAAAAAGAATGAAAAATCATTTAGTTCTAAATGCCAAATGGATAACTTAGGAATTACTTATTGATTCTTAATTCTATGGGTTGGTTAATTTGTTTCTTCTTCCTCAAATGCTTTTTTAAGACTGATGAACATTAATCTAAAAATACAGCATAGAAAGGCCTTATTACTCACTAAATCAAAAGCTCTGTCTTAAATATTATTCCACAAGGAGAGGTGATTAAAAATTTCACCTCCAAGAATTCCACCCCCAGAACTAAATTCTTGGTTCTCATCTTACAAAAATGTTCAATATAAAATAACATTCAAGCCAGACAATAACTAATCACAATTAGTACCTGGATATTTAAGTTGTAAAAAGGAAATAAACAACAGATAACAGATATTTTATGTTTATTTTCAATCAACTGAAAAATAAGAATTTGTCATCAAATTTGTCATAATTATTGAATACCTACAATATGTTTCATACCGTGATGAATGCAAAGATTATATACGTCATAGAGAACATAAAAGCAGCTCACTAAATAAGAACTTCAGAAAATAAACAAAAGACAGGAGAACAAAATCTCCCTCAAAAATCTGCCTTATTACTATGCATTTTTTTCCAAATGCCTTAAGCTACTGAAAACTATAGCAACCCAACCCCACATTACATTACATGTGAAATCTACAAACTCCTGTTTCAACTTTCAGTAAAACAAGCATCAAAATTTAGAATTCTCAAACAAATGAGTCTGCTACTGCTTTTTTTTCTAATCATAAACAAGGTCTTTTAAAGGCAGACTGCTGAGCAAAGCTAAGTTCACAGGAGTAGATCAGAAAAATGCCACACATAGACACACAAATGCAGGAATACTACTCAGTTATAAAAAAAAAAAAGATGAGCTCCTGTCATTTGCTACATGGATGGAGCTGGAAAGTACAATGCTAAGTGAAATTAAGTTAGAAGGAAAAAGACGAATGACAGATGGTCTCATGTATAAGTAGAACACAGATTATACCCTTAAAATGGTAAATTATGTCATGTGTTTTTTATTTCAATCAATCAAGACTATGGCCTTACCAAGGGAGGTCCTGCCAAGAAAATGGTGCCCTGCTTACGCACAATGATGTTTTCATCAGCCATTGCAGGAACGTAAGCCCCTCCTGCTGTACAGGAGCCCATGACCACGGCTATCTAGAACACAAGCACACAACACAGCCATGAGGTACAGCTCAACAGTGACTCACACAGCTTTGGGCCTACAGTCCCATAAAATTTCAATTCAAAGGTTATTACCAGCTGGTCCCTGGATGTCATTTTTAAAATGGAATCCTCTAAACATTTTGTTAACTTCTTCTAACCAAAGCATTTTGAAAGTTTTATGTCACATTTTTACAAGGTTTAAGGACAATCTTTCTGTCAGAGAAAAGAGGTGCAGATTGACCACTAACATGAAGAGCTAATGGAGAGAAAAATACTCATAATTTAGTAAAACTATGTTAAAAGGCTAGCTTTTAAATTAATAATAATAAAAAGCCCTCTAAATAACTGCCACTCACCTCAGGGATGCTGAAATAACTCTCCAAAATGAGTTCTGTTAATCCACCTGAGATCTCTACTCAGAGATCTGAGAGGCTACATTCCACCCAGCACAGGGGTGGGGCTCTGCTTTGCAATGGGAAAGGCCAAAAGAGCCCTCTTCTAGGGCAAGGATGTTCTTGGTGAGTCAAAAATTTGAATCAAAAACAAGAAAGCAGCAAACAGGTTTAAAAATGATGTGTGGTGATGGAAAGCCCAAGGGGATTGCAACTGAGATGGAAAAATGCACAAAATTATGTAAAAATAAACTATTATATTATAAAAAAAAAGTGTAATAGACAACAATACTTGTCATCACTGCCATCACCAAACACAGAAGCAAAATTTTTGATTAAAGAAACAGAGTGGGCCCTCCCTGGTGGCGCAGCAGGTTAAAGCACAGCACTAAGAAGCTTAAGCCACTTCAGCATGAGTTCGATCCCTGCCTGCCCTCGGAAGTGACCACATGGCGAGGCAGACCTCTCCTGACCCGCCCGCTGCTCCCCTCAGCAGTGTACTTCATCGATCTGCCTGTTCTGCTCCCCACTCTGTCTCTGGTGAAGCCTCTCACCCACCACATGTCTGGCCTGTACCCCAGTTCTGTATGAATGAATAAATAAATCTTTAAAAAAAAAAGAAAAAGAAAAAAGAAACAGAGTGGGCCCTCCTTGGTGGCACAATGTGTTAAAGCACAGAACTCTAAAGTTATCCGTGGCCACTGCAGCAAGAGTTCGATCCCCAGCCAAGCAGGTGACCTACAGGATGTGGCAGACCTCTCCTGTCTCACCTGCTTCTCCCCTCAGCAGTGAATTTCAGTAGATCTGCCTGTTCTACTCCCCACTCTGTCTCTAGTGAATCCTCATTCTCCGCACCACTAGCCTATACTCCAGTTCTTGTATGCATATATAAATAAATCTTTTTTAAGAAAAAACTTTTTAAAAAGGAAAAGAAAACGGATACTAAAAAACAGAGGTAATAGTCTGGAAAAACCTTTGTAAATTTTCATTACCCTCCTGGTCCTGTTTGCACAAGTAGAAACTGGTTCTCATTGCACCAAAGGCAAATTTTATATTGAAGGCCAGTAGACTGGCCTGTAGAAAGTCTCTGACAACAAGTCAAAATGTTTTCTACCTTATTCTGAAAAGCTTCATAAACCTAGACCTTCATCCTTTCACTGAAAAATTGCAGGTGACTATCCAGTTTAAGGTACAAAATAAGTGTAACATATGTTGGAGGGAACAGGGATTTCAATGGATTGATAGAAAAGCTATTAAAAATACAATTGATTCTTGAACAGCACAAAAGTGAGGGGCACCAATGCCCTCCCACACCCAGGAAGTCAAAAACCCACATATAACTTTTGACTCCCCCAAAATTTAACTACTAATAACCTACTGTTGATCTTGAAAATCTCACCAATAACATATAGTTAATTGACATGTTTTTTTTTAATGTTATATGTTTTATATACTGTATGCTAGAGGAAAGAAAACATCATTAAAGAAAATAATAAAGTACCTTTACAGCACTGTGCTATAGTTATCAATACCCTAAGTTTATATCATCTGTGTACAAGATGAATCTTCTCTTACTGACACAACATTGTCTGATACGATATAAAACAATATAGATGCTGTAAATCCACATGTAAGTGGACCCACACAGTTCAAAGCTGTGGACCTCTAGTGGGTCTGGGATCTGGGGTGCACCTGTGAGAACAAACCAGAGGGATGACTGCTGTGTCCAGCGTGCAGTGAATCTTTATTTTGCAGCATGCTCTTTATATGCCCCACATTATCAAGCAGTTAACAATAGCACATTGACTTACTCTAACTCTATATCTGGTGTCTACTTCTTGGAACACTGTGTCCAGACCCAGGTGGCCGAGCCCTCGCACCCACCCAGACACTTCTCCTGATAAGCTCTTTTGCGTCTTTCCCAGACGAGGCTGCCTGCTCGCATGACCTATTTTCTCACACTCTTGGAGCTCAGACCTGGCACCCGAGAGCGTCCCCCAAGGCACATGTGCTTTCACCTGCCTTTTAGTATTCAAGTCCAGATGCCAGTCAAGGTCATGCAAGAGCTCTGCCAACCCGAACACACTCTGCTCAAGAGTCAACTGTATGATATTTTATATAATAATGTAAATAGAAAATGTGTTTTCTTGATCTCTCATCACTTTCAATTCACAATGATTATGGAAAAACAGATAACACCTATATCACATTTTTCTTCCTTCACCTAAAGAGCAGCCATTAAAAACTGAGTCATAAAATTATACATTATTAATTCAATTGTCATCAAGAATTTAAGGTCATTATACATTACACTGGTGGATCAACACTCCTGATTTGGGCTAACTGGGCCTGTTGAAATGTACACAACAAAGGAAAAGTCCATCTTACACAGGACATTTATTTCTCCATCAATCTCTTTATCAGAGTCACAAAGCAATCAGTAATTTTACCTTCCCAGGTCCCATCTTGTTTCATTACAGGTTGAAATGCATTTTTAAAAGAACAATAAAACAGTATCTGTTCTAACTAAGCCCAAAACCAATTACCAAGATCTGAAGCAAAAAAGATAAAATTCAAAAACAATGAGCAAGGCTAAGAGGGCAATGGGGCAAGGAAAGTTGAAGCGACACCTGAGAATATTTAATTACAGTATAAGAGTATTCCTATAATTAACGTAAGAATCTGACTAGAAAGAGCCTTAAGATACTTTTTGTGGAATAAGACTAAATTCCATTTTATGTCATTGAAAAATACCTAATTAGCAAGGACATTTAAAACAAAAAGCAATACATCTTATCAAAGAGCTATTACCTGGGTAATATTTTTAGAAGACATCACTGCCTGATTATAGAATATGCGACCGAAGTGATCTCGATCTGGAAATACCTCTGCTTGTCGAGGTAAGTTTGCTCCTCCTGAATCAACTGAAGACAAGAGAAATGAGAGAAGTGAGTACAAAGTAAGCCACACACAAGAAGACATGCATCAATGATACTGATGCATTATAGATGACATTACATATGACAGTGGCAATCTTAATCACAATCACAGAAAACCTGCCTTATGCTTCTAAACCACTCAGTGACCATTTCATGCAATCTCCCACGGAAGCTAAGAGTTCAGTTTGCCTCCAAAACTCATCAGTTTCTCCTACCTCTTTTATTTATTATTTATTTATTTATTTATTTATTTTTGCATAGAAGAACTGAGGTATAAGCTAGAGGTGCTAGAGGCTAAATGACTCAACAGAGACAGTGGGAGCAGAACAGGCAGATGGACTGAAGTACACTGCTGAAGGGAGCAGCAGGCCAGGTTCTGCTACCTCTGTGCAAAATTCTACTTGAAATGTTTGGGACATTCTTTCCCCAAAGACCAGCTGCAGTTCAAGAAACACCATCAGTTCTTAACCATTTCAGCCAAAAAAATTATCTTTCCATCTTTTAAAACAACATAAAATTCATCTGCAGAATTCCTGTGCACTGTGGCACACTGCCTCTGGTGGTGTTCACAACAGATTCTACTTACTGGCCGGCAAACAGACTTCACAGCTGTGTGATTAGAGACGCGTTTCCTAACCATTCTCTCTCTTGGCTCCCTCACCTGTGACAAAGATAACAGTAGCTACCCTGTAGTCGTCTGGGGTGACATGCAATAACATAAGCTCAACACATTCTGTGAGTGTGCAACTGTTACCGGGAGCTGGCTGGCTCTACACTCACTGCTACTGCCCGCAACACTGAGTCTTTATTGTTAATTAACACATTATCTCATGTCTATAATTCATTACAAAGCTGTCAAAAACAGGATCCGTGTGTGCCCTTTTCTGCACCCCCTATAGTGTTTGCAGTGCCTCCAAACCCATTGGCTGTGTGTAAAAGCTACCCAGTAAATTCACTGTCACAGAAAAAAAAAATCTCTTCATCAGTAACTGCTAAAACACCCACATAAATGGACAGTATATGTTGGAATTTCAAACTAATATCCAGGAAGTACCAATTTAAATGCCTTGTTTTTTTTTTTTTAATGCTTTAGATTTAAATCTATTATAATTTCAAATATAAATTTACTTTCATTGAAAATAAAATTTCTTATTTTACATCTGTTAACATTATATAACATCCAATCATTTCACATTTAACATATATATATATCCTAGCACTCAAGAACCCATAAATGTCAGCTGTTACTTTTTCATGGTTGGAACCCATTATAGTTATCAGAAAAATAAAATGCATAGGAGGAAAAAGCCCCAGACATGTGCAGGGGAAAAACCTGGCATATACCAAAGTATTATTAGGAGTTTATTTCTCAGTGATTCTATTATGAACAGCTCTTTTTCCATTTTCTCCCAGAGTTTTTAGCAAAGAACATGTATTTCTTTTACAATTATAGGAGAAACCAACGGTGCTTTTAAAATAACTGTTGACAGAGTATTGGAGGGAAGTGCATGCATCCTTTGGACAAAATGTCCATGAACACTCAGTTCTAAACACTAGAAAATGCACGTTTCCCTTGGAAAGTCACTGGAGAGCAAGCACAGGGCTGATCTGGGAACACAAACTACATTCTATTTTTATTCTTTTTAATGAATCAGAGGAACATTTAGCAGGTGATGCTTCATACTTCGTTCAGTTAGGGTTGCTGCCTAACAGAAGCCTACCCAGGACCAGGTAGCAAAGGGCACCCCAGAAAATGGGCAGAAGACAGAGCAGGGGTAGCTGCTTACCTCAGTGACCCTGAATTAGTACAACCACCCCAAAAATCCACTGGTGATGTCATATATTAAGCCTTCTAAACAGTCTTGAATTTTACTACATAAAATAACAGTGTGAGACTTGCCCAAGTAGATGCAGGGAAGCCTGTTTTGCATGGCAATTTCTTGTGCACGTAGATGCTTTTTCACAGTCACTGGGTAGTAGGTACCTCCTTTGACAGTGGCATCGTTGGCAACAATCATGCATTCTACTCTGGAGGACAGATATTGCAAAGAGAAGGTGAGAGATGCCTTCAA